AAACCTTCCATATCAGGATAGGTTAAAGAAACTTAACTTGCATTCCCTAGAAAGACGAAGAATGCGGGGAGATATGATAGAAGTATTTAAGTGGGTGAAAGGAATCAATAAAGGGGATATAGATAAAGTTCTTATAATATCCGAGCAGGATAGGACTCGGAGCAACGGATTTAAGTTGGATAAGTTTAGGTTTAGGAGGGAGATAGGAAGAAACTGGTTCACAAATAGGGTGGTGAACGAGTGGAACAAGCTTTGCAACTTTGTAGTAAGTGCGGGAACTCTGGAAAGTTTCAAAAGGAGGCTAGATAGATTCATGGATGATAGAGAGTGGTAGTAACTCTCGACAGGAGCTGCCATGCACAGGTCAACCGGCCTATTGCAGACTCCTTATTTTCTTATGTTCTTTCTTATGTTCTTATGTCTTGTGTTGTGGTGGCGTGAGAATTATGATGAAAGTCACTTGTCAAATGGCCTCTTGTTCTTTGAGTAGAGTGACTGCCAGAAGTGAAACTGGGCCTCATAGACAGTGTGGACGAAACCTATTGTATATAAAGCCTTAAATATACGAGAGGGAAACATCGGTGGTACTGAACCTGACCGTCTTTATTTCCCCATTTGTAAAGTTAGGAGTATACTTAAAACTAGGTGAAACGGGGGACGAACTAGAGACTATTAGGACAGGAGGCGAGTGATGTAGCCCCTCTGCCACTGTATCCGCATTCCCTAGACTCTAGGTAATACGGATATCGTACATTGTACTCTAGGGCCTAGAGTACAATGTTATAATTATTTAAGTCTATGCAACAAGTCAGGACGATGCCTTAATCCTTTGAGTGCGGTGATCAGTTGCCTCGAGTGATATATTAATGTAACCCTGGGTTTAGTTCCTAATGCAGTACTGCATTTAGAAAAAAGTATAATATGGAAAGAAACTTTTAATACCAGATGATCTTCTTACTTCCATTTTCCTCGTAGTTGCATCATGGATCAAAAATTATAAATTGATAATTTCTTTCAGGATGAAGGAAGAGTGGCTGATGGTGGTGGTGGTGGTGTTGGGCGGTATTGACTGGGGGACGGGGTCGTTGCCGCCCCCTCCCAAGTCTTGTTTATTTCTTCTGTCGTAGTAATTGGCCAAGAGGGAGGAGAGGGTCTCGGTGCAGTATCTCTCCTCCTCGACGTCGACCAGAGCGCCCTGTAGGATTGATGTTGGCGTATTGTCTTGGTCGACGCCCCAACCCGTCACTAAACCTGTGTCCTTTGGGAAGACGTTATCTGTATTGTGATGGGTGTATCATAGAACAGTTTGTCAAGGCGGTTCAGGGGATGAAGCAAACAAGCTTAAGCTCAGTTAAAAATCCTGATGTTTACGTCAGGAGTCACGTTCTGTGAGGCACCAGAATTTAATAGAATCACGCACAGTACAGTCGAGAGAAAAACACAAACCTTCAAGTTGTTTTTTGGAATATATTAAGGTCGCCCAGATATAATAGCATTCACTGAAACATGGATCAACCTAGACTCACGTGAGTTACCTGTGGAATACCAAATTGCAGGTTACAAATTATTCCATACCGATAGGCAGATTAGGAAAGGAGGCGGAGTAGCAATCTATGTCAGGGATAATCTGAAGTGTGAAATAAATATGGAAATAAAATCTGAGCGGAATACAGAAACAATTTGGATAGAATTAATCGGCGGTCGGGAAAAATTAATCACAGGATTAATATATAGACCCCCCAATCTTGATAGAGTTAATGAGTGACGACATATTTGGGATGAAATGAGCAGGGCTTCCATACACAACAAAGTCTGTACAGTAGGCGATTTTAACCATGGCCAAATAGATTGGATTGACCTTACGGGTAACTCAGAATCGGAGGATTTTCTTGAAACGACCCAGGACTGTTTCCTAAGTCAACATATAATTGAACCCACCCGGGGTAATAATATGCGCGATTTAGTTCTGTCGAACCGAGAAAACCTCATTAGTAATGTCGAGGTAGGGAACGAACTTGCAAACAGCGATCACAAAGAAATTTGATTCCAGTTCGATTTTCAGGGCAGCCGTAAGGAAAATTCCACACAAGTCCCAGATTTCAGAAGGGCAAACTTTGATAGTTTGAAGAGGCAGTTGAGAGAAGGGGTATCACTCTTGGGGGTGAACTACTTGGACGTGACTGTTGAAACCGACCTGATAACGAGATTTGAGGTTGCCGGGTTCCAGGACAATTTATATAATGAGTTACTTAATGCACAAAGGCAGAACATACCATACAAAAAACTCAGATCATACAACAATGACCCTAAATGGATAAATAATTATTTAAAGAACATCATTGGCCAAAGGAAGGCTATAGGTAGAAGGATAAAGCATGGCGAAATTTACCTCCGGGATTATTATAAGGTATTGGCCGGTAGGGTTAAGACCGAGATAAGGAAAGCAAAGGGGAATAATGAGCTGAGGATAGCAAGGAAGGCGAAGACAAACCCCAAGGGATTGTATCAAATGTATCAAACTAAAACACGAGAAAAGATTGGACCAATACAGTCAGATACCGGCGAGCTAACTGGTAACGGTGGAGAAATGAGCAATAATCTGAATAAATATTTTTCAACAGTTTTCACCACCGAAAATTTACTCATGATACCCGAGGCACCGACTCTATTCGGAGATAGTGAAGAAAACAATTTAAGCGATATATTAGTGACTAGTAACGATGTTAGTAAGCAAATAGACAAACTAAAGCCTACTAAGTCACCTGGTCCCAATGAGATATTTGACAGAGTATTAAAGGAATGTAAGGAAGAGCTTAGCATGCCCTTAGCAAAGTTGTTTAACATGTCCTTAAAAACAGGTGTAGTACCAGAATCCTGGAGAATAGCGAATGTAATACCGATTTTCAAGAAGGGAGATAGATCACTATCCTCTAACTACAGTCCAATCAGTCTAATCAATTGTAGGCAAATTACTGGAAGCAATCATTTCAAACTCTATTCGAAACCACCTGGAGAAGCACAAATTGATCAATGATTCCCAGCATGGCTTCACAAGCAGGCGTTCATGTCTAACTAATCTATTAACATTCTTTTCATCAGTTTTCGAATCGGTGGATGATGGACACAATTATGATGTCTTATATCTTGACTTTAGCAAAGCCTTCGACAGAGTCCCCCACGAAAGACTAATAAGAAAGGTAGAAGCACATGGCATTAAAAGTAATATTCTAAAATGGATTAAGGCGTGGTTACAGGACAGGAAGCAGGGAATGAGTATTAACGACACTAAATCCCATTGGAGCAACGTCACAAGTGGAGTTCCCCAAGGCTCAGTACTTGGACCATTTTTATTTATTATATACATAAACGCCATAGATATCTGCATAGACAGCAACATAAGTAAATTTGCTGATGACACTAAATTAGGACGTGTAATTAAATCTGACGAGGACTCCGCAAAACTACAGGAAGCTCTAAACATATTTTTCGAATGGTCTGAAAAATGGCAGATGAAATTCAATGTGGACAAATGTAAAGTACTCAGTATAGGCGATGTAAACATTGAAACCAGTTACCAGATGAACAATGATGCCATTGAGAAATCCAACTGCGAGAGAGATTTAGGAGTAATGATAAGCAAGAATCTTAAGCCAGGTATACAATGTGTTTTTGCTCGTAACAAGGCTAATAAAGTACTTGGGTTCATACAAAGGAGTGTTAGTTACTAGACTAGCGAGGTCATCTTAAGATTATATTTTGCGCTTGTGAGACCTCACCTGGATTACGCAGTTCTGTTCTGGTCACCGTATTACAGAATGGATATAGAATCCTTGGAAAGAATCCAGAGGAGAATGACAATTCTAATCCCGGGCATTAGGAAACTTGAGTGCAGAGACAGGTTAAAGCATCTTAATTTGCACTCCCTCGAGAGACATAGAGCGAGGGGCGACATGATAGAGGTGTATAAATGGAAGTCAGGGCTAAACAAAGGGGACATTACAAAGGTACTCAAACTATCCAACCTGGAGCGAACTCGTAACAATGGTTTTAAATTAGACAAGTTTAGATTTAGGCGCGAAATAGGTAAACACTGGTTTGAAAACAGAGTAGTGGATGAATGGAACAAGTTACCAAATATCATCATTAACTCGAATACGCTGGATAGCTTCAAACATAGGTTGGATGCTTATATGAGCAATAGGGGTTGGGTCTTCTTGGGTGTAAATGGGACTGCCCAGTATGGGCCAATAGGCCCGCAGCAGTTTCCTCCATTCTTATGTTCTTATGTGTAAGGTGGCCGTGTGAGTCAGCTAACAGGGGCAGATAGATGGTCTAGTGACTCTAGTTTATAAACGTGTGTATCAGGATGACGTGGCTGATTGCTCAACACATATCCTCGTGCTGGTGGCTGGGTGAGGACAGAGAACAATGGTCTGGAGGGGGGGGGGTGATCAGGTGAGATTTCATCACTAATAACGACTTAAGACCTCCTCTGCTTCATATCATTAACTCGAATACGCTGGATAGCTTCAAACATAGGTTGGATGCTTATATGAGCAACAGGGGTTGGGTGTAAATGGGACTGCCCAGTATGGGCCAATAGGCCCGCAGCAGTTTCTTCCATTCTTTTGTTCTTTTGTTCTTATGTGTAGGGTGGCCGTGTGAGTCAGCAAACATGGGCAGATAGATGGCCTAGTGACTGTAGTTTATAAACGTGTGAATCAGGATGACGTGGGTGACTGCTCAACACATATCCTCGTGCTGGTGGTCAGGTGAGATTTCATCTCTCATAACGACGCAACACCTCCACAAACAAGTTCACTGCTTCATACCTCCTGACACGCCACTTTCCCCAGTCTGTTAGTTGCCCTGTAAAGCTCCCAGCAGCAGTGTTTATGCATCTGTCCTCTTCTCCACCATCCTCCTTTGAACCCACTACTTCACCATCATTTCTTTAACCACACATTTACGTTCCTGCTCCTTCCCCTCCCCCTCCCTCCTCCCCCCCCCATTCCTCCGCTTCGTGCTCTGGCCTCCGCCTCCCCAGTGAGGTCTGGCCACACTACCTTCGTATCCTGCGTAAGATCGAGTCGTTGCTGCTGCTGTTGAGGTAAGTGGAGATGGAAGGGAGACACTGTGACACTGTCCAAGTATCTGTCTCTCCTTCATTACCTGGTTCTTGGTTGTATTAGCTTTAATATCTAGAAGTGTAAGTAATAAGAGTGCAGAGGTCTTATTGCAACTATATCTTGCGCTGGTCAGGCCACACCTCGATTATGCGGTTCAGTTCCGATGCCCTTATAATAGAATGGATATCAATTCACTGGAGTCGGTGCAGCGAAGAATGACGAAAATGATTCCGGAACTTAGAAACCTTACCTATCAAGATAGGTTAAAGAAACTAAACTTGCATTCCCTAGAAAGACGAAGAGTGCGGGGAGATATGATAGAAGTATTTAAGTGGGTGAAAGGGATCAATAAAGGGGATATAGATAAAGTTCTTATAATATCCGAGCAGGATAGGACTCGGTGCAACGGATTTAAGTTGGATAAGTTTAGGTTTAGGAGGGAGATAGGAAGGAACTGGTTCACAAATAGGGTGGTGGACGGGTGAAACAAGCTTAGCAACTTTGTAGTAAGTGCTGGAACGCTGGTAAGTTTTAAAAAGGAGCTTGCTAGATTCATGGATGATAGAGAGTGGTAGTAACTCTCGACAGGAGCTGCCATGCACAGCCCAACCGGCCTATTGCAGACTACTTATTTTCTTATGTTCTTTCTTATGTTCTTATGTCTTGTGTTGTGGTGGCGTGAGAATTAAGATGCAAGTCACTTGTCAAATGGCCTCTTGTTCTTTGAGTAGAGTGACTGCCAGAAGTTAAACTGGGCCTCATAGACAGTGTGGACGAAACCTATTGTATATAAAGCCTTAAATATACGAGAGGGAAACATTTGTGGTACTGAACCTGACCGTCTTTTTTCCCCATCTGTAAAGTTAGGAGTCTACTTAAAACTAGGTGAACCGGGGGACGAACTAGAGACTATTAGGACAGGAGGCGAGTGATGTATCCCCTCTGCCACTATATCCGTATTCCCTAGACTCTAGGTAATACGGATATCGTACATTGTACTCTAGGGCCTTGAGTACAATGTTATCATTATTTAAGTCTATACAACAAGTTAGGACGATGCCTTAATTCTTTGAGTGCGGTGATCAGTTGCCTCGAGTGATATATTAATGTAACCCTGGGTTTAGTTCCTAATGCAGTACTGCATTTAGAAAAAAAGTATAATATGGAAAGAAACTTTTAATACCAGATGATCTTCTTACTTCCATTTTCCTCGTAGTTGCATCATGGATCAAAAATTATAAATTGATAATTTCTTTCAGGATGAAGGTAGTGTGGCTGATGGTGGTGGTGGTGGTGTTGGGCGGTATTGGCTGGGGGACGGGGTCGTTGCCGCCCCCTCCCAAGCCTTACAAGATCCTCATGGTGCTGCCCTTTTCCGCCTACAGCCACATGAGCATGTTAAAGCCCTTCGCCAAAGCTCTGGCTGACAGAGGTCACGAGGTAAGTAGGAACATAATCAAATCGACAGGAGATTAATCCGTAAGTGTTAGAAGTAGTTATGTGGTGTCCTGTGTACTGTCCGAGACCCACATCATGTTGTAGGGCAGTTATGTGGTGTCCTGTGTACTCTCCGAGACCCACATCATGTTGTAGGGCAGTTGCTATGTGGTGTCCTGTGTACTGTCCGAGACCCACATCGTGTTGTAAGGCAGTTGTTATGTGTACTATTTGAGACCCACATCATGTTGGTGTTGGGTCTTCCAGCTGTATGGTCTTCCAACTGTATGGTGTTCCAGCTGTATGGTCTTCCAACTGTATGGTCTTCCAACTGTATGGTCTTCCAGCTGTATGGTCTTCCAGCTGTATGGTCTTCCAGCTGTATGGTCTTCCAGCTGTATGGTCTTCCAGCTGTATGGTCTTCCAGCTGTATGGTCTTCCAACTGTATGGTCTTCCAGCTGTATGGGTCTTCCAGCTGTATGGTCTTCCAGCTGTATGGTCTTCCAGTGTATGGTCTTCCAGCTGTATGGTCTTCCAGCTGTACGGTCTTCCAACTGTATGGTCTTCCAGCTGTATGGTCTTCCAGCTGTATGGTCTTCCAGCTGTATGGTCTTCCAGCTGTACGGTCTTCCAACTGTATGGTCTTCCAGCTGTATGGTCTTCCAGCTGTACGGTCTTCCAACTGTATGGTCTTCCAGCTGTACGGTCTTCCAACTGTATGGTCTTCCAGCTGTATGGTCTTCCAGCTGTACGGTCTTCCAGCTGTATGGTCTTCCAACTGTATGGTCTTCCAGCTGTATGGTCTTCCAGCTGTATGGTCTTCCAACTGTATGGTGTTCCAGCTGTATGGTCTTCCAACTGTATGGTCTTCCAGCTGTATGGTCTTCCAGCTGTATGGTCTTCCAGCTGTATGGTCTTCCAGCTGTATGATCTTCCAACTGTATGGTCTTCCAGCTGTATGGTCTTCCAGCTGTATGGTCTTCCAGCTGTATGGTCTTCCAGCTGTATGGTCTTCCAGCTGTATGGTCTTCCAACTGTATGGTCTTCCAGCTGTATGGTCTTCCAGCTGTACGGTCTTCCAGCTGTATGGTCTTCCAGCTGTATGGTCTTCCAGTACTTGGGTCTAGTGCTGCAGTAAATGGCGGCTCGTCCTCTGCTTCTGCCTGGTTTATAAACAATTTTATAATGTCTCATTGAGCTCATATTTCCCAGGTGGTGATGCTGACTAACATGGCGCCCTCCCTCAAACACCAAAATATCCGGGAAGTGTTCCACGGGCTGACCAACATGTTCCAGAACAACACCGATCCATTCAGCTTAAGCAAGAAATTCCCCCTAAAGTTAATAGTGGACATGGCTGTGTTTATGACTCGTAACATCTACAACGTTCCTGAAGTGATGGAACTCTACCGCAGGAGGAAGGACTTTGATCTCATGGTTGTCGACGTTTTTTATAACGAGGTAACAAGACGAGGGTCACTTCTTTTTACACGAATTGATTAGTTTTGAGGATATGAGAAGCATGGTGGTCGCGCCAGTAGCTGTAGTTATTAATTACTATATTTTCAATCATTTACAGAGTATGATGTGATTGTTGTCTTTATCACGTGTTCATAAGGTACTTCACATCCCCTGTTCTGTTAATCATAAGGTATTTTAATAATGTAGTTTCAGAACCTCTTGAAAATTCTACTATTTGGATGGTTATCAAGTTATAATTGTTATAAAATGTTAATGTTAACCAGAGGACTTAAAAGAATAAAGGTTTTCTCTATTCAGCCCCCAATTTTTTTTTTTTTTTGTCTTGGATGTCGTTGTCTGGGTGAACGTTATGAGTTTATCTTTTACTGTGTGTGTGTGTGTGTGTGTGTGTCAGGACTCCCCACATAACTGTCCCCTCTCCTACAGATGATGTACCCTTTCGTACACGAGGTCCCCTTCATCACCTTCTGCCCCACCACTCTCCACGTCATACAGAGCGCCGTCCTGGGTAACCCTCTCAACCCGGCCCTCTACACTAACTTCAATGACAACTACCCACGACCCATGAGCCTCAGAGACAGGGTGGACAACTTACTCTCACAGGCAACGTTCTACAGCGGGATGAGGTTGAATTTATTTGCCGCTGTACAGGAGGAGGTAGAGTGTACACAGCTACTGAAATGGTGTGTGTGTGTGTGTGTGTGTGTGTGTGTGTGTGTGTGTGTGGGCGTGTGTGTGTGTGCTTGTGTGTGTGTGTGCTTGTGGGCGCGTGTGTGTGTGTGTGTGTGTGTGTGTATGTGTGTGTGTGTGTGCGCGTGTGTGGGCGTGTGGTGTGTGTGTGTGTGTGTGTGTGGGCGTGTGTGTATGTGTGTGTGTGGGGCGCGTGGCGTGTGTGTGTGTGTGTTTGGAGGCGTGTGTGTGTGTGTGTGTGTGTGTGTGTGTATGTGTGGGGGCGTGGAGGTGTATGTCTGTGTGTGTGTGTGTGTGTTTGTGTGTGTGTAGGCGTCTGTGTGTGTGTGTGTGTGTGGGCGCATGTGTGTGTGTGTGTGTGTGTGTATGGGCGTGTGTGTGTGTGTGGGGGCGCGTGTGTGTGTGTGTAGGCGCGTGTGTGGGACGCATGTGTGTGCGTGTGTGTGTATGGGCGTGTGGGGGCGTGTGGGGCGTGTGTGTGTGTGTGCGTGGGCGTGTACAATAATAATAATTAACGGTTTATTGAAAAAGTTCTGCAGCCCGAAGGCTGAAAATATACAACGGACATAAATGACTTATTACATACATTGGTGGTTTAACAAAAGCCTTCATTAGAGAAAGGTGAAGGAACATACAGTGAACATACAGATTAATGTAGGTGTTGAACAGCAAAGCAAACACGTAGTGTAGTAACTCCCTCCCAGATGGTGTTAGGAGGAACTCACGTGGTGTAGTAGTTCCCTCAGATGGTGTTATGAGGGACCTGGCGTGGTGTAGTAATTCCCTCGCAGATGGTGTTATGAGGGCCTCACGTGGTGTAGTAATTCCCTCACAGATGGTGTTATGAGGAGCCCGACGTGGTGTAGAAATTCCCTCACAGATGGTGTTATGAGGGGCATCACGTGGTGTAGTAATTCCCTCACAGATGGTGTTATGAGGGGCCTGACGTGGTGTAGTAATTCCCTCACAGATGGTGTTATGAGGGACCTCACGTGGTGTAGTAATTCCCTCACAGATGGTGTTATGAGGGACTTGATGTGGTGTAGTAATACCCTCACATATGGTGTTATGAGGGACATGTGGTGTAGTAATTACCTCACAGATTGTGTTATATGAGTGAGGTGTGGTCCCAGGCCTTCCTATCGTAGACGGATTAACACATCGCTGGTTGTTGTTGGGTCTCACGGGCCGTTATCACTGGGTACCTGGGACCTCGCTGTGTGAAGGTTAACTTGGGTACGACTGTTACTGTTGAGTTGTTCTCACTGACCTAAGCACTGTTCACCTCTGTTTAACACTGGTTCCGTTCCTTTCCTAAATGAAATTGTAACTTCTGGCGAGAACTTGTTGATATTCCGGTGGGGAGGAGGGTTCAGGGGAGGGGGTTGGTATGGGCCAACTTAACAGTTGACCTGGCTGCTCAGAGAGGAGCGCCAGGTATGTCTTGACCCTTCGGTGGTCAAGGATTTTATGTGTGTGTGTGTGTGTGTGTCTGTGTGGGCGCGTGCGTGTGTGTGTGTGTGTGTGTGTGTGTGTGCGTGGGCGCGGTGTGTGTGTGTGGGTGTGTGTGTGGGTGGACGCGTGTGCGCGTGTGTGTGTGCGTGTGTGTGTGTGTGTGTGTGTGTGTGTGGGCGCACGTGTGTGATTGTCTGTGTGGGTGCGTGCGTGTGTGGGCGCGTGTGTGTAATAATAATAATAATAATAATAATAATAAACGGTTTATTAATAGAGTTGCAGCCGGTGGCTGAAAATATACAGACTTACATTTGATTTAGATATAATGATATAATATGTATTGAATACATTTACAGGGCTGTACAGTACATAAATCAGGAGTTGTTTATTATTTTAACAATAGATGGGATGGTGCTGTTCTTGTATCTATCGGTGCGGGCTCTTATGAGCCGAATTTTGTTGTAGTGGCGGACTGCGCGAGTTGGGTGGGGGCTGCAGGTGGCGATGGCGAGGGTGGTGCAGTAGTCCACGGCCAAACCTTTCCAGTGCTTGGTGGTGGAGGTCACTGAGGGATGGCATTTCCAGGGTGGAGAGAGCGTTGGTGTAGCCGGAGTATTCTGCCCCGAGCATGATTCTGCAGGCCCTTTTCTGTACCTTCTCTAGCTGACGTTGTTGGGTGGAGTTGAGAGAAGACGACCAGGCTGGTGACGCATACGTTAGTTTGGGGAGAATAAAGGCTTTGTAGATGGTCCTCAGCTCTGGCGTGGGTGTCCCAAGTGATCTAAGTCTTCGTAGCATGTAGAGACGGTACGAGGCTGCCTTGACTGTGTTATTTACATGGGCCTTCCAGTCAAGTTTGTTGTCTATAGTTACACCCAGGAGTTTGGCAGACTGCACCAGCTGGAGAGGATGGGCACCCACTGTGACTGCTGGGGCTTGCACTGGAGTGGTGGCGGTATTGATGTGCATGACTACGGTTTTGGTGTGGTTGATGGTGACCTTGTTCTCCGTAGTCCATGCCTGTAGCCTGTGTGTGTGTCTGGGCCTGCGTGTGTGTGCGTGTGTGTGTGGGTGGTATGAGTTGAGGGTGTGACATCTCTCCTTCACTCTGACAGTCACCTCTCCAACATGATAACAGTCAACTTTCCTCTACTTCCTGTTGACTGTAGGAGAGAAAATTGTGACCAAGTCCCAGGATGCTGGTCTGACTTTCTGCCTCATTTACACATGATTGCAGGGTCTCAATTGTTTCTCTTCCTTTGACAACACAACAAACATATATTGTTTCTCACTATTAATCTTTTTTGGGGGTATTTATTTATGGTCCTTTATTATTATTATTATTATTATTATTATTATTATTATTATTATTATTATTATTATTATTATTATTATTATTATTATTATTATTATTATTATTATTATTTCGCCCCCGGGCCCTGATGTGGGTCATTGACCTGTGCCCTGGTGGGCACATTATACCACAAGTTATTCTGAAGATGCTACACTGTCAACTGTAGGTAAAGTTCCCTCAACCTGACCCACATGTAGAGATGTCTGATAACTTATCTGTAGTGATGACTCTGATAAGTTACCTGTAGTGACGACTGATAACTTCCCTGTAGTGAAGATTGATAATTTACCTGTAGTGAAGATTGATAATTTACCTGTAGTGATGATTGATAACTTACCTGTAGTGTTGTCTCTGATAACTTACCTGTAGTGACGTCCCTGATTACTTCCTCCAGCCAACGCCAGAGTTTGGGTCACCTTCCTTAACCCTAAGTGACCTCAAGTTACGTCTCTAAACAGCCTGTATTCACAATGTCTCCCAGTGATGCTTGTTTTAACTTTGTCCAGATTACGGCCAGATTTCCTCACCTGCCGCCGCTGGAGGAGATAGAACGTAACCAGAGTTTGTCTCTCATAAATTATCACTTCAGCCAAAACGAAGTAGTGCCCCTCCTGCCATCCCAGTTGGACGTCGCGGGTCTGCACTGTCACCCAGCTGAGCCTCTGTCTCAGGTGACGTCACTCATCATTCTTGATTCTAAAACATTGTTGCCTATCTGTCTCTTGTTCTGAGTCACTATTGTCAAAACAGATTCTGTGAGGCAATATGATCCACTTGATTGTAAACCTCCACAGAAGCTGGAGGCGTGGGTGGAGGGGGCGGGCGAGGCGGGTGTGGTGTACTTCAGCTTGGGGTCATTTACCAAGGGAGTGTTCATGCCCGTCCACTACCGAGACATGTTCCTCGCCGCCTTCGGGCAGCTGAAGCAACGCGTCATCTGGAAGTTTGAGGAGGAACTACAGGGGATACCTGACAATGTCCTCTTCGACACGTGGATACCACAGCAGGATGTCCTCGGTGTGTGTGTGTGTGTGTGTGTCTGTGTTTTAATACTCTTGTAATATCACCATATATAGTATGTGTCAAGTGTTGGATGATTAAACACCTTTATAATAACCTAACCTAACCCTCCCGTCTCTCTATCCTACCTTCATGTAGGTGATCCCAGAGTCAAAGTTTTCATCACCCAAGGAGGTCGCTTAAGCACACTGGAGGCTGTCTACCACTCCACGCCCATGGTAGCTCTTCCCATCGTGTTTGATCAGTTCAACAACGTTGCCAGGCTTACTGACGCTGGTCTCGCCATCGTGCTGTACTGGAAGGAACTATCTCCACAGCTCATCGTGGACACCGTCAGAGAAGTTATCAATAACCCCAAGTAAGATTTTATTATGATTGGTGACAAGATGTTGTATTTTATCTGTCTAAAGGTGGCGGCACACTGGGCACTTTTCCTTCCAACATGTTTGGCAAACACGATCCGGCCAGCAAAACAATGAGACGATTGCGTCACAATGGGATGAGTTGTTGTTACCGTTTTATGTATTATATTTAAATATTTTCCTTGGATATTCATCACCTATTATGAAGCTCATTTGAGCACTGACCCGGCCAGCAAGTCTTCCCGCCAAACCGTTGTCCATTTCTCGCAACAGCCGAAATCCTGCTGCTTGCTGGGCCGTCAGGCCAGCGGTCATCAAAATGGGCAACATATTGGGAGGAAAGTTCCTAGTCTGCCGCCGTCTTTAGTCTCTTTATTGTGGCAGCTGTCCTAACAAATTCCAACTTAATTTACTTATTATTGGGACCTAATCCTTTGTTTTCATTTTAGTTACAGAAGTAAAATTCTATCTAAAAGACATCTTTAAACTGGATAACAAATTTCAGTGGGTTTCTTATGATAAAAACATTGTTTTGGTGTAGAAGGTTTTGTCCTTCTTACTTCACCTTATGACTCCCATGTCTCATCCCTTCCTCAGGTAGGAATAAATATCAAGGAAAATACATCTTCTTGTATTATAAACTGAGGTAAATCTGTTGGTCATCTCTTGTCATTACAATAACATTAAGAAGTATCGTTTCCTCCAATAATCACAAAAATACATAGAATCATTGGTACCTTTAGACACACACTGTCCCTACCACTCCTAACAGTGAGCACCTCCTCACAGGTACACAGAGAGGATGAAGGAAGCCTCATTTTCCTTCCGTGACCGACCACTGACACCCCTAGACAAAGCTGTGTTCTGGAGCGAGTACGTCATCCGTCACCAAGGGGCCCCACAGCTCAGGTCCCCCGCTATTCATCTCTCCTGGGTGGAGTTCCTTATGCTGGATGTTCTGGTAGTGATACTCGTCACTGTTTTCATCATCATCGTCTCAATATGGTGTCTGCTGAAGAAGGTCTGGCGTAGACTCTTTGGCGGCGGGAAAGAAAAGGAGGAGTAACATGGTGTAGCTTCTCTGAGACGAGGTGGTGAGTGGAAATGACTGACTAAACTGTTCCCGGTTCGATTCCAGCAGCCTGTCATTGAGTGGGGCACCCCCACGGCCTGTCACTGAGTAGGGTGCCTCACGGCCTGTCACTGAATGGGGCACCCCACGGACTGTCACTGAGTGGTACTCCCCGCAGCCTGTCAGGGTGGGGCGCCCCACGGCCAGTCACTGAATGGAGCGCCCCGCGATCTGTCATAGAATGGTACTTCCCGCAGCCTGTCAAAGCGGGGCACTCCGTAGCCTGTCAGGCGGTGCTCTCCGCAGCTTGTCAGAGTGGAGCGCTCCACATCCTATCTGGGTGGGGCTCTCCGTCTCTTGCCAGAGTGGGGAGCTCGGAAACCTGTCGGAGAGGGGTCGCTCCATAGTCTCTCGGAGTGGGGCGCTCCACAGCCTATCTGGGTTGCGCGCTGCACAGTCTGTCAGGGTGGGGCGCTCCACAGCCTGTCAGGGTGGGGCGCTCCACAGCCTGTCAGAGTGGGGCGCTTCGCAGCCTATCACTGAGTGGGGCGCCCCACGGCCTGTCACTGAGTGGGGCGCCCCACGGCCTGTCACTGAGTGGGGCGCCCCACGGCCTGTCACTGAGTGGGGCGCCCCACGGCCTGTCACTGAGTGGGGCGCCCCACGGCCTGTCACTGAGTGGGGCGCCCCACGGCCTGTCACTGAGTGGGGCGCCCTACGGCCTGTCACTAAGTGGGGCGCCCTGCGGCCTGTCGCTGAGTGGGACACTCCAAGTTGAATAGATACTTAACTCAACAGTCAGGAACGGGAAAAGTTACACTGTCATCTTGTGTACTCTGCTCAAGACACTCACTTGTATAATTACTTGCATCAACGTCCTGGAAACTGTGAGAGACCTAAGAGTGAAGACTAACGGCATCCTGGGAACTGCTCCTCATAATGACCGTGTGACTTGTAACATATTTTCTGTAACTTTCTGTAAATTTTTCTCTCGGTAAAATAAGTCTCTCATGAGCAAGTCCTTGACCAACTCTTCTCAGGCGACTACAGTACTCAACTGATCTCTTATAAACTGATAAACATTCTAATAATAAAAAAAAATCACAAGACCGTAACATTCATAAACTTTTAGTAAATAAAAAACACAGTATATTACATAACAGAAATATAACTACACTATTTAACATTACAATAACAATTTCACATAAGAGCGAGATTCATAAACTGCTTTACGTACACTGTCGACTCGAATAAAGATGTCCGGCAAGGGTATCCCACACATGTTGGCGATGCTGACTCCCACAACATAGTGGGCACCAGTCTGAACCCTCCTGATCAGAGGCGCCCCTGTGTCGTCCTGGAACACGAGATGATGAAGATAATAATAATAATAGTTATAATAATAATAATAAATAATAATAACAATAGCCTATGGCAAGAGCCTAGGTGAATGACGTCATGGGCATAGCTGAGCTGATTGGCTGAGCCTGTGCCCCTTTTTTAAAGCGATCTGGTTTGTAAAGTGGAAGAGGAGAGACGTGTGCTGTCTGTGCAGGAAGTAGTAAATGTATCGGGGGTAAAATTTCTTGTTAGATATTATGCTGAGAGGCCCTGGTCCTTTGATTAATTTTTGTCAATTTTAACAAAACGTTTAAATAAATGTTAAAACGATTAAGTGTGTTTCAGTCTTCCTCGTTTATATGGAGTCGAAAGTTTGATGGAAAAAATAGAACTTTGAATGTATTTATGGGATGGAATGAGTAGTAAGCCAAGTATTCCATATTATTCATATTATTCTATTTATTATCCTTATTCTCTCTCTCCCTCTTCCTCCCCTATCTCCCTCTCCCCCTAGAGAGGGAGGCCAACTGCTAGGACCACTGCTAAGCACCACGTGGCAGAGTCTCTTACACCACACACAACAGATGATCCGTCGGGACTGAGAGCACAGAGGTAGTCGGTCAGATTAATCTTGTTTATTTCTTCTGTCGTAGTAATTGGCCAAGAGGGAGGAGAGGGTCTCGGTGCAGTATCTCTCCTCCTCGACGTCGACCAGAGCGCCCTGTAGGGTTGATGTTGGCGTATTGTCTTGGTCGACGCCCCAACCCGTCACTAAACCTGTGTCCTTTGGGAAGACGTTATCTGCGCGAGGGAGACAAAATATCCAGAGTGTGAAGAAAGTTTTTTAACCAGACAAACGTTCTTGTTCACCTGAAATAATATAACTGCAATATTTGAGTAATGTATATAGCGTGGATGATGATATCTGTAGCCTGACTGGTTGTGTGTGTGTGTGTGTGTGTGTGTGTGCTGATAATGAAAAAGCTTATAACACGACCCCTTCCTCCTGCACCACCATACTCACAGTTGACAGGTAGACAAACAGGCCTGATGGTGGGGACGAAGTGTACAGGTGTGGTTCACGTGAGGACAGCGAGGTTGTGTCTGCTGTAGTACTCGTCGAAGGTCAGAGGGAAGATGACTTTAGAGACGCTGCTGGTGAAGTGGAGCGTCTCATCCGTTTTGCTGTAGTCGCGGTCACCCATCACGGCCCTCACCTCACCCACCTCCGTTGACACAGAATGGAATTAACGACAGCACCACCCTCAAGATACCTGGGTCCTGGTACAGTTACAGACTTATCATTCTTCACGTGACGCCCCTGACTCCACACATCATAGTGCGAAGTAAAGTGATGAGCTTCTGAACAGTGTCTTTCGATTTCTTTATAGTTAACATGGTTGAAATTATCCCTATACCAAGAGCAAGAAAGGAAAAACAAGGCTCAGATTGGTAAAGTCACATTTTCTATACTGTATCGTGTTCGTTGATTACGTTGGTCAAGGTGTTATTAATATCATTGAGGAGAAGGTTCACACACTCACGCTGCATATGGCAGGAAGCAAGAGGCTGATGTGAAAACGTGGGTGTGGTCGAGCAGGACGCCACTACAGGGGATGAGCTGGGCAGACGACCCTCCATCCACTACCTCCAGCTGCGAGGAGTCCACCTGTCTCTCGATCAACACCTGTTATATAGAGTTTCTTAATTACCTTGACTGGTGGTGACAGATTGATTGTAATTGCTTTTTGTGTGTGTGTGTGTGTGTGTGTGTCTGTGAGTGTGTTTTGACAAGTTGTAAAAGATTACTACAGGATGTCTCTCACCTCTTCGTAGTGTGATTAACTTCTGTCATCTCCTTATAACTTGACCTGAGTGAAGGTAACTGACGCTACCTTGATAATTGTGTTTAATGTGATGTCTTATATTATAGACGCCTACAGTTGTCTGCCTCTTGATCTATCTGAGTCGGAGGGAAATCAGAAAAGTTGGTATGGTAACGTATCATCCAGGGCCACTCCCCGACACACGTCTCCTCCCCCATGAGGCGCTGCTGCTGCTGCTGGTGCTGGTGACGGCCAATTCCATTAAAATGAATTTATATTATTTGAATTAGTTAATTTTACCGCCACACCACCCCGTCAAGAACTGTACTGCAGTGTCCTTCGGGACTAATTTTTTTAACTCTGGTTGAAACACGACGACCCTCTTCAACGGCAGAAGGTGTTTAGAACTGCGGGCGTTTGTCTCTCCAATGCTTGTCCAGTCGGCTCTCGTTGACCAGCACATTGAGATGAGAGAAAGAGAACGCTGCCTGCTCCTTGTTAAATAATATAAACACTCTTGTATAGTTTATTTTATAAAGTAGATTTTTTTTAAGCACAACAACGAACTTTCCAGCAGTTAAAAACGACTAGTGAACAATTGGAACAGCGTACAGCACAAGAACAGCTGAGAGAGTTCTTGCTGCACTTCACCCCAAAAAATTACTCAAGATAAAAAACAATAAGATCTTGGGCAGAAATCTACCTTATTCATACAGCTGGAACGGTTATAAAAAGATGTTTGTGTTGTGCGTCGCTGGTTATCTGGGCGGTGGCAGGAGACTGTGGTCCGGCGGAGGTACACGGAGTAGACACACAGACACACTCACACAGGCACACTCACACAGACACACTCACACAGACACACTCACACAGACACACTCACTTAGGGGACGAGATGTCAGGTGAGATATAAGGACAATTAGCACATTAGTCACGATGAGCTGGTCATTATCGTAAAAATAATCGTATGTGTTTTTCAGAAAGAACTTTAATGTTGGCTAAGAAGCTAATATAGCGAGGAGAATCCATCCAGCCAGCCAGCCATTCATCCAGCCAGCCAGCCAGCCATTCATCCATCCATCCCTCCAGCCAGCCATCCATTCATCCATCCATCCATCCATCCAGCCATCCATCCATCCATCCATCCCTCCCTCCAGCCAGCCATCCATTCATCCATCCATCCATCCATCCAGCCATCCATCCATTCATCCATCCCTCCCTCCAGCCAGCCAGCCATTCATCCATCCATCCAGCCAGCCAGCCAGCCATTCATCCATCCATCCATCCAGCCAACCAGCCATCCATTCATCCATCTCCAGCCAGCCATCCATCCATCCATCCATCCCTCCCTCCAGCCAGCCATCCATTCATCCATCCATCTATCCAGCCAGCCATCCATTCATCCATCCATCCCTCCCTCCAGCCATTCATCCATCCAGCCAGCCATCCATCCATCCATCCATCCATCCATCCATCCATCCAGCCAACCAGCCATTCATCCATCCATCTATCCAGCCAGCCATCCATTCATCCATCCATCTATCCAGCCAGCCATCCATTCATCCATTCATCCCTCCCTCCAGCCATTCATCCATCCATCCAGCCAGCCAGCCATCCATCCATCCATCCATCCATCCATCCATCCATCCATCCATCCAGCCAGACTAATAGAAGCACCACCTTATTCATACGAGGATTTTATTCCAAACATCAATAACTTTTACTGATGGGAGGCAGTGTGTCACCACTATGGAGAGTTAAAACCAACGTCTGGTGACAGTAGAGGAGGAACGGTTAGCAGCCCTGACTGTGTTTAATGAAGAATATCAACTACAGGACACAGATGTGGTTGAAGATAGCTCTAGTCAGAAGCATACAAGACGCATGCTCACCAGGTCAGTAAGGTTTATTAGTATTTCTTTGTTATTATTATTGCTTCAAGTACTTTCAGAGACGAAGTGTAGTTAACTTTGATTGTAAAATTATAAATAAAAGGTTTGAAATATGCTACAATTACTATTGTAGGAGATAAACCGTTTTCTCACAAACTTAATGGGATTTTTTATTGATAATGTAATAGTGACGATTGACAAATATTATTTCAAAGATTTTCATAACAATAAAAAAAAGATCATCTCGAGCTCTTTGGCATTAAACCTCACCGTACTTATCATAATTGTTACCTTCACTATCTGAGAATACTCCACAAACATTTTAAAAACCTGTTTTCACCCCTGTACTCTTTGTAGTGTAAAAAAAAAGCTTTGATAAGGTAAATGATATATAAAATAGTTATTCCTTTATTATTTACATATTCTTCTATAAGTTACTCAAAGAAAATTTTTAGGGATAACATATTTAAAATTTACTCGTCGTTAATAGGCAATATGCGTGTCTCATCTCATGATATACGACTTGTATAATTACTATTGTTATTTAAAATAATAAATAGCATAGAGGAAGGAACAATCCTTGAGCTCGAGGCAATAGTAACGGGGAATTTTCGTCAAGCGAGAAGGATTAAACCGGTTTAGTAACTCTCGCCTCAGCTGTACCAGAAATGACTTTACGATGCCTTTGAAAACTCTCTCCTGACTGTACCGCACCTTGCTTGTCGCTATATACGGAAGGATGGCACCTATCTGACTAATGTAAGCTCAGGGCAGTCGAATTATTGAGAAAAAGACCGAAGATCGTGACCGTATTGTAACAAATCATCAAAAACCAATAACAATGTGACAACAAGCAGACAATGCATAGCCCTATTGTTCTAATTTTGGTAATATTTTTAGTCTTCCCATCTACCTGTTTATGTCTCTCATCATCGCTTCGAGACATGATGATGATGAGGCACAGACACACTACGGCGCTGCCAAATTAAGTCGGAAGAATGATGGCTCTAGAAAGAGTGAATCATAAACCAGGCTGTTGAGCTAACCTTGGGGGATGACGTCATGGAGGGGGCGGAGTTATATTAAACAGCTTAGCCACACCCACCTCCTGCTACCTCATAGTGACCCTCGCTGGGACTGCCAGGACCCAGGAATCGTTCTGGGGAACACAACAACAACCCGATTTATGTTGTACTGTTCAAAAGCTCATCATTCCAGCGGAGTCACTGTGTGTGTGGGGAGAGAGAGAGAGCGACAGGAAAGAAGTAGCGAAAACTGAATGATAAATTATTCGTGTTTGTTTCGTTGATCGTAAGGCCGTCGTGAGTGTTTTAGATTAATAATATTGATGTTTGGTTGTCTTAATTGATAAAGAAAGTTAACTTTAGCACTATAATGAGGCAGAGTCTTTTTAATGGGTTTTATTGGGTCTTATTAAGTCTTTACTTATTAATGTTAAAGAGTCTCAGTTCCTTTAATGTATCAACGTACTAATAGATTCATTCCTTATGGTTAGGTTAGGTTAGACTGAGGCCTATTATGACAGGACAGTTCTCGTGTCCCAATTTTAGTCACACATCACACAGGTGTTGGCTAAAAGATAATTATTTCTA